CAGGTGTGTGGACTATTATGTGGATTTTGCAGATACATACATGCAACAGAGAGCAGGATGGAACTTCTATTAGAAGCAGGTTATATGAAATTCTGCCCCATGTACCAATGTTGGTGGGAATGTGAGGTAGTAATCGATAGATAAGAAATACAGCAAGTTATATTGAAGCCTAGATATATGTAAAAGAATTGCAGCAACTCTTCACAAAAGCAGAATTGATGAATATTCTGGCACTGATCAGTTAATTCTAAGTGGTTTCGGGTAGGTCAGACTGGCCTGTGAGACTCACATTCCCAAGAGCACCCGTACTGTACAAGCACTTTGTGCAAATTCTTTCTACACACCGACCACCCCCTGAGACGCTCAGCCTGACTTAGCCACGAAGAACACAGGAACAAAGCAAGGTTAAAGACAAACTTATATACTTTCAAATCTAGCACCTGGTAAGCCGGAAATGAATGATGAGGAAGATACAGCCTTCCACCTGTTTTGAACTACAATTCTCATTAGTCCCAACAAGCATCGTTAATAGCAATAGAAGAGGTGCTTGTTGTCAAAAGCATGTGGAAGATCAGGGTGGCTTAGATAGCCAGAAGATTAAGAGAACATTTTTTTGAACATAACCACTGATCCATGAGCTTTGGAGCAGAGGCAAACTTTTATCAAATCTACGCAATGCCATAAAGGTTTCCCCACCTATCAACATCCCCTGAAACTGGACTTGTTTGCCATAGAACTTGAGACTGCCCTCAAGACGTTGCGATGCTGCTACAACGGATGGTTAATAAGGGCTTAGGTTGCTTGGCTTAAATATGGCAGGGCGTGTATATATTCAGTGGAATACAACAAAAAAGAGAGAGGTCATCATAAGGCTATGAGAACTGGCTGCCCAGGGAACATACCGGTCCCCTCCCACTACTCTGGACTAACTCGATTCATAATATGACTCCTTGCACTAAGGAATGGGCACAGCCTCTGATCTTGCATCTTGCCTTTCAGTGTGGAAGATCCCTGATTCTGTATTTCTGATAGTCCTCCTTTTCCCAATGGTAGGAGTCTCAATGTCAGAAATGAGCAGCAGCTACCAGGTCGTTTGCGCAATCACCCCGAGTAGACTTTGTCTAGAGGGGCGGGGTATAAATTCAATAAAACTAAAGTAAAGAGTATGTCTAAACTGCAGCTGTGGGTTGGAGGTGGAAACTTGACCTGGCCACGCTTTCTTGCAACATGTTTCTATGTCATTATTTTGGAATTTGTTTGTTGCTCACCTCTCTCGCCTTTTCTCCAATGAGTACGTGGCTCTCCTCCTCAGCGACCACTGAGGCAGGTAGGTAAGGCTAAGTGTGTGACTGGCCCAAGGTCACCCAGTGAGTTTAATCATAGGGCAGTCAAGCTCCAGAAGTGGTTAGGCTGGACAGCCTCCACCATCCTAGGCTAAAAAGGATGGTTTTTGTGTTATTGCCCATTAATCTGAATGGTTTCTATATTTGCATGGACACTATGAAGGCAAGTGTCAAAATATTAATATATTTTAAATCCATTTTCCCCCTTTTTTTTGGTGCATTTTACAATAGCCTTAGTTTATATTCAAAACTGGGGATTCCCTTTCCCTCTTATCTATGACACTGTTTCCGACTGTGTAAAATTTTTTTTCCTTGCTCAAAAAAATAAACGAAGCATTGTCAAGGGATTGAAAAGGGTAACAGGAGGGAGGGTAAGAAAAGGATGCTTTAATCCAGAAAGAAGAGATGTTACCCTGAGCCTTCAGGATACAGCTTAGTATAAATGGAAACAGATTTGAGAAAGGAGGGGGGGCACAAAGGCTCAGCCTGATCAATGGACAAGAAAAGGAATCCACCGAAGATTAAGGAAAGGACTACAGAACAACAAAGCTTGCATGTGTTCAACAAGAGAGTGCAGGAGCTACTCAGTTGATTCTTTGGAAAGGAACTGATGACTGATGATGAGAGATTCACAGGTCTGGAACTGGACATCACAAGGCTAGTCTTAAGTCTCCCAGCCCAGATTTTGTGCATGGACAAACTAGGGTGCATCCCATGACTTATAATGGTCCCCATATTGTTCCCTCTATCAGTGAACTCTGTTGACAAGTGCCAAAAGAAATGGAACCAGAATGAGGACACACAGGAACATAAGAGGCTATTAGCAGCCTGAAGATATGCAAAAGTACAAGGCATTTCTGTAATACTCCATCTTCTCCCTCCAAAAAACCACAGCTCTATCAAATGTGAGAATGCTCAGTGGCAAAAAAAAGTTACCTGGGGAGGGGAACCCCCAGAAAACTACAGAGATGAATTGCTGAGCTTCCTGGGGTTTACAATTTCCTGGAGGAAGGCTTGGCTGGCTGAAGTCCTGAATAGGAGGAGTTCTCCCTGTTAGGTGGCCAAGATGCACTGAAATATTTTAGAGCAAGTACCACGTTTATATGTAACTACTGGAGTAAAGGGACAATTGTGGAATTTCCCTTTCACTGGCCCAGCCTTATGCTTCCAATTCCCACCCACCCCCTCCAAGAAACAGAAAGTGTTACAGCTCCTTAGGACACACAGTAGCAAGATTACTTGTAGTAATAAGGCAAAATACAGATTGGAGATACAGAAGAGATCACTGAGAGAGGTCACTTATCAGTGGCAATGAGTATGGCTTTGATAGTATTACCTTACAGCTTTTGGTAGGTGTATATGTCCTCCCCATAGTTGTTGGTAAAAGGAGTGTTGCAGACAAATCTACAACATTACACATTTCATGAATATTAATATTTGCCCATGGATGTTGATAATAAGTATAACAAATACACCAAACATGTCTAAGACATTCAGGTGACAGTCAATATTCACTGGTGCATTTGAGATGCTGGAGATTTATAATATTCCTTTGGGAGTGTCAGCATCCAGGTGTGAATGTTGATGTCTACCAAATTATGGACATGGATTTGCTGGTAATGTTAATAAACCCCTGAGTTACAACAGCCTTATGTCCTCCCCCTCCGAAAGAGTCACACTTAAGACGCTGAAGTCAGGGCTGGGTGGTATTTCAAACAAGAGTTTTATGACAAATGAACTGGATGACTGCATGAATTAACTGAGCTGGGTCCATTTTTCGTGATAAAAGACATACCGACCAGTATATCTCGATGCTTACAGGGTTCTCTACAAAAGGAAGAGAAAACTGGGGCCTCTGGTTGGGAGGAGGCGTGAGGCATGCTGCTTTGAAGACTGCTCTTCCACGCCCATGCATCCAGGTCAACCTGCAGGTTCCAGCAGGAGCTCTTCCCCATGCCGTAGATATACCACACATGCACACGGAGACGTACGTACGCACACACGCGTGCACACACACACAGACACACACACACATCTCTTGGGATCTACGCCAGCAATAAGCATGATGAGCCGTACACGGAACTCCAGCATTTCAGCACAAGAAAAAAAAAATCTTCTATCCTTGTAAATGTGATCTCCTCCTTACCCCACCTTTGTCTGGGGCTAACAAGCTCTTTTGATGTGGTTCGGAAGACAGAGGTGGGGAGGGGTGGTGGAGACATGCTCTGTGGAGGAGATTGGGGAAATGGCAAAGGAGGGGGGGGGAAATCATTCAGATAGAAGGGAAGACAAAAAAAAAAGAAAAAAAAGAAAAGGGGGAGGGTTATCCATTGTAATTTCTGGGCCGGCTCAGGATGATGTCATAATGGCAGGCAGCAAATGCAACGGCCAAATTCTGGGCACCCTGTAAATCTTTCTGCTCATGTGACCTCTAATACTGATTTGGCCGAAATACCAAAGATTTCTATCATTTTATATGTAGAAGAGTATTTTGGGTTTGTAAAACATCACAACCCCTCCTCCACCCACTCTTGGGATACTGCTGCCAATTTCCAGCTTTCGCTCTCTCTCTCTCTCTGTGTGTGTATGTGTGTGTGCGTGTATGTGCATCTCGGTGTGTGTCTGTGTGTGTGTGTGTGTGTGTGTGTGAAAGAGAGAGAGAGAGAGAGAGACAGAGAGAAGAGGAAAGGATGGGGGAGGAGGCACAGACCTCACTCTCTACCAGCACACACCCCTTTCGCTACTACAAAGGCATCTCTAGCAATCACATTTGCAATAGTACAAATCCTGCCTGAACCGCCGCCACCATCACTACGATGCCCCCTCCTTACACCTGATTTTCATGCATCCTTGGGTAAAAGACAAAAACGTACGAAAAAAAAAAAACCCTCTCCAGATCCTCTTTTCATTTTTATAGGAGTTGCCCAGTCCTTTATCGTGTCAGATGGGAACAATGCAGTTACCCGTAAATGAACGAATGAGAATGAATGAATGCAAGCAACTGGCGATACACCATGAGAGGCAACCGCCGCTCCTTCCACTGGTCAAATCCATCAGCACTCATTAAAATTATAATCATCAGTACCTCGACTCAGTCAGTGCCAACCCTGCTCCCCTCTCTCCCTCCCCCTCCAAGCCAGACAGACAGAAATTATACTCAACAAAAATGGATGCAATTTGGAACAAACCAATCACAGGTTATTTTCTGAAAATTCCCCCCCTCTATATATACATACACATACATATGTGCACACACACACACACACACA